ATTAGATCTTCTCCAGAGAGCGGGGTCTCCGCTTAATGTGTCTGAAGTACCCCTCTCCCCCCCCATCCCGCAGCATGATCGCCAGCCGTGCTGAGGGTCTCTTGTTCCAAAGGAGAGGTTCCCCGTCCCATCCCTCCCCTCTCCTCCCCCCATTCCTGGCGCAGACGGATCACAATCCTTCTTCTGCATCCTTGCACTGGCAGAACAGAGGCTGGAAGCGCTGTGGGGCATCCTCAGCTAGCCTGCATCTCTGCCAGTGCCCACGCCGGATAACAGCCTTTGGTGCTACTGAGCGGAAGAGCCAAGCGTGCCCAGATGGCTGGCGAAGTATCTTTGGAAGTGTGCTGGCAGGACTGGCTGGGTCCGCTCCTCCTATCCACTTTCTTCCTTCTCTTGCAAGACAACCCGGATTGCCCCATTATTTTCTCGGATCATGTCGGGTAGGATCATTTTTTATTTGCCTAAAAATACGATTTCCACCAAGGCTGTCGATCTTCCTAATGCACTGCTGCAGAGCTGGAGGCCATCTGCTAGTTTCTCTCTCTCTCTCTCTCTTTTTAAAAATAATCTTCTGCATCCCTAGCGTAAATATAGATATATTTGCACGCTCCTGGTTTGAAATTCCACGTTCAGCCAACTTGCTCCAACTTTTAATTTTCTCAGCTTCTCAACTGCAGTCGATGAAAGCATTTGAAATGCTATTATTGACAGGAACAAAATCAAATGCATTTTTTTCCCTCCAAAAGACAACAAAGTAGTTCAGACTTTAAACTTGAATGAACTTACTGGAATATCACCCGGTTTCATGTTCAAAGTAGGTTTGGAAAAGAGTTTGTCCAGCTGGCTCGTTGGTCTAGGGGTATGATTCTCGCTTTGGGTGCGAGAGGTCCCGGGTTCAAATCCCGGACGAGCCCGACTTTTTAAAAATCTTTGCAATAGTTAAAATATTAAAAGTGAAAGGGACATCACTTTTTTTAAGAGAGAAAGAGGAAGATTTTTTTTTTTTTTTGCTTAAGGTCGCAACACTGAAGACGTAGTAAGATATTCTGAGCGAAAGGGACTTGCTTTAGGCTAAACACAGGAATGAATTATTTACATACAGAGAAAGGACCTGCAGAACATCCCGAATGAATGAGTAGGTTGCTTGATTTGCTTTACATTAGCTCGCTTTGTTATTTCGCCTTTATCCTTTGTTCTTTTCTTTTGATTTTTTTGAAGAGCAAATAACTAAGACGGGGACCTTGAAATATACTTAAGTGAAAAACCCTTAACTTCCTCGAATACGTTTTATATTAATTAATTAATTAATAATAATAATAATTAATCATTTATTATTAATAATAAATTAATTAATACCTCAAGGCGGGGAACATATCTAATATAAATGTGTTGATTAATTAATTAATTA